ATCCAGGTGAAGGAACACGGTTCTGCTCTGATTTGTTGTCGTATTAAGAGTATTCGTTTGTACAAGTACAGACGAAGTACTCGCCTTTTGTTACCAATACGAATGTTTATGTTTGTTCTTTTGTGGAGAAATTCCCGAGTTAAATATAGTCAATTATGTTGGACGGAACCTAGAAAACGTCACTGTCCACTGTAGTGACCGTCATGCACGAAAGGGTTAAAAAAAAAAAGGCTGGAAAGGAAGTGTGTGTATGTACCTGCCTAAAACTTATGCACAGTACCGCAGTGTTCTCCGCTCTGTCGGACGGCGTTTCCAACCGTTGTGCGATTGTAAGGAAGTACTCGCTTTTTGTTACTAATACGAATGTTTATGTTTTTTTTTCTTTTGTGGAAAAATTCCGAGTTAAATATAGAGAAAATTATGTTGGATGGAACCGAGAAAAATGTTCTATTTTTATGTTGGTTTAAAAAAAAAAAAAAAAAATTTGAACGTTTCCACTCTAATAAACACGTCTCTCACACAATTTTATTACAAAATATCAAATTTATTTAGACTTTTTTTTTTTATATATATATATTTATATATATGTGTGTGTATATAAAAGATTGCCATGCACACACCCACATCAATTTGTAACCATCAATATAGGCTGTTAATCGTCCGGTTAAAGCTAGCACACGACTGCGGTACTTCCGGTATACAGTATGGTCTCAAAGACACCACTGGGGGGGGGGGGTGGGGGGGGCTCGCAAGTTAAACGTACAAAAAAAACAACAACAAAAAAAAGGCAGTTTGAAAAAAAAAAATCAAGTAGAAACATTTAAAAACAATCTTACAAATGGTGGACCCCCCCCCAAAAAAAAGTACAAAAAGATCAACCGCCACTCAAAGAAACAGAAGTCGGGTCGTTCTTGAGGACTTGGTCCGTACGTAGGAAAAGGATGTACATTAGGGTCACCGTTAGGGTCACCGTCAGGGTCACCGTCAGGGTCACCGTTAGGGTCACTCGGCCCCCGGATACTGTACAGGAAGTATCTTGGATACATCCTTTTTTTTGGCAGTTTCAGTTGTTTTTTTTTTTTTTCTATACAAAAGCATAAATATCGGTGGGTTCTGAGCCAGGAGGACGAGATGAAGGACAATGTTTCCCGAGAACAAAACGTTGGGGACCGTTTTTTTTCCTTTTCAAACCACAAGGACGTTTTGAGCAGCTTTTGAAAATACATTGGCTTTCAATTCATACATTCACTACCCTAAGATGCAGATACATGTGTATATTTTATATATATATATGGAAATATATATTTACATATATATGGAAAATATATATATTTTCCATATATATGTAAATATATATTTCCATATATATATATAAAATATACACATGTATCTGCATCTTAGGGTAGTGAATGTATGAATTGAAAGCCAATGTATTTTCAAAAGCTGCTCAAAACGTCCTTGTGGTTTGAAAAGGAAAAAAAACGGTCCCCAACGTTTTGTTCTCGGGAAACATTGTCCTTCATCTCGTCCTCCTGGCTCAGAACCCACCGATATTTATGCTTTTGTATAGAAAAAAAAAAAAAACAACTGAAACTGCCAAAAAAAAGGAGGGA